ACTTACTTATTTACTTCCTTCCTTCCTTCCTTCCTTCCTTCCTTCCTTCCTTCCTTCCTTCCTTCCTTACTTACTTACTTACTTACTTACTTACTTACTTACTTACTTACTTACTGTGTGTGAGCTTTTATTTTATTTTTTTAGGAGTGGTTCTGTTCCTTCAAACAATGACACAAGTTCCCGCCCCTTTGTTGTGAGCGTCTCACTGCGCATGCTCCATGTAGTAGCCGGTTATGGTGGCTGTGTGTGTTTGTCCATGAGGTGGTGTGGGACGCCTGCTGTTCCTGCGGTCTGTCACAGAGCGATTCGAGCGGCTCGCTGCCATGGCTGGAGTGTTTGACATTGACTTGGACCAGCCGGAGGAAAATGTCTCCGATGATGAGATCGAGGAGGTACTTTTACGGAAGCTGTCACGGCGGAGAAAACTCGTTGACACGCGCGCGATAGTTAGCTTTAGCCTGTTAGCCTGGCAGCAGCTACCAATGCTATCGCAGGCCCTGCTCCAGCCTGCAACCAGAGCGGTCGGGCCTTTTCTCAAACACAGTGCGCTACTATTAACGTGACAGCGAGCATGACAGAATTACCAATTGTTCTGTGTTCGTTTGGTTTGAAACACGGCTCTGTGTTAAATTGAATGCGCTGTTGACGCTGTTAGGTTTTAAAACCCTTCGCTGTCACAGTGGAGTTGGGAACCTTACTTGGCCAAAGGTGCTGCAGTGATAAATGCGGCGCCGTGTGCAACAGTTTATTTTGGCAAGATGTGGCGGAGTGGGACTGTGTGGGCTCAGAAACTGCTGTCGGTTTGCTTTCTGCACACACACATCCGCCCAAAGCTACTGTAGATTTGAAGAGCATAAGTAAACTAATTTCGATAATGTTGACATGTTGCATCAARGTGCTTATAAATGTCCTGTGTTAATTATTACACTTGGTTGTGCAACTATATTACAAGAAATTGCAGCTATTGCAAGCACTATTTAGACTAGTTTAAAGCTAAACATTAATGAAAACTCAAAATATAAAACAGGATGCAGCCACAAAATTTTGATTCATTGTTTCACTTTCCCGGTTATTTATTGAATGTTTAATAGATGAATACCAGAAACCTACTGAGCATGGGATACATACCAGTTACTTAATAGCTCCTTACTAGCTATGTACTGGGTCCTTAATGTAAATGGATTTAGTCATTTAAGGTGTTTACAACAGGTACCTAAACAGATATGTATCTGTTACTTAATGGTTCTGTACTGGGTACTTAAGGGGTACATGCCAGCTTTACAATGGGTACATATTGGCTACTACTAACTGAGAATGTACACGCTATGTAATGAGTACTTAAAGGGTATGTACCAAGTAATTAAGTGTTGTATACAAGTTACTTACTGGGTACTTGATCTTCATGTACTAGCTTCTTAATGACTATGTTCAAGTTATTTAATGGACCTCTACCAGTCACCTAATGGATAACGGCTAACCAGCTATGTGCTGGGTATTTAAGGGGTTTGTACTGGTTAATGAAGGAGTGCATACCATGTTGTTACCAAATACATAACAGGGTATGTACCCAATTTTTAACGCTCGTCTCTTTTTATGTGAGGCAGGAATAAATTACAGCAGCAACGACTTCACGTTGGTTTTTGTGTTCTGTTTTCTTCAGGCTCAGATTGGTGACATCATGGAGCAGTGCGCTGGATTTGACTTGTAAGTATTTAAATGTCTCTTACATTGTTTGAACCTTTCATAAACAGAGTCTGTCAAAAAGAAGAGTTGGTGTAAGCGTATGCCTTCGCAGCAACATGGAAGGCTGCGAGAAAATTGAGATCTCCGAGGATAACGTGAATCAGGGCACAGAGAACATCCGTCCTGAGTGCTTCGAGCTGCTTCGGGTCCTCGGCAAAGGTGGATATGGGAAGGTATGAACGATGCTCAACATGTGGGTGGAATCATTTTGCCCCTATAACACTATGCTGACCCATTAGGTTTTTCAGAAAAACGTTTTTTTTTTTTTTTTTTAAATTTATTATTTCCTTGCCGTTCAGGTTTTTCAAGTCCGCAAAGTCGTCGGAGCTGCAGCAGGCAAAATATTTGCCATGAAAGTTTTGAAGAAGGTATTTATGTTTGTTAAAATTGCATTAAGAGTGAATTGAATCTGCTGTTTTTTTTACACCATTATTGTGCCTGCTTGTTATTACAAAAGAGCTCTGCGCTGCTTCTTTTTGTAACTTTCGGCTGCCTCTGGAGTCAGCTGTGGGGTAAGACTGTTCGTTGGTAGGTTGCCATCTGCCCTACACTGCTGCAGCCTTGGCTCTTAAAACGCTCTGCTCGGGCCCATTAGATCCAGCTTGAAATTTGGAGGCTGCTTTGGCCCGACTGCTCAGCGTGAACCCAGTGACACATTAATGACCAGCTGAAATTCACTTCTTTCTTTTAGCTGCGAGGCTTAAATGTTGCGTAAAACGCTTCAACTCTTTGATAGCGGGGCCAGTGCCGTGTGTTTGAGAATCTCAAAGTTTTCAAGCATCTCAGATGAAGAAATAAACATGGATGATAATGTATTCGTTATTGCACCTCCACATACAGACATTTAATAATTTACTAGAAGCCATAACCTTCATGGGAGGCTCCTATGGGATAAACGCTGCAACAATTCTTTTTAGCTCATCGTCCTACCTTTTAAACAGCTGACACAGCTTTTTTACCAACAGGCAGCTCTTCGGCCGTCTGACTGAAGTGTTTAGTAAACAGAAATAAGAGCAGCAGAACAGAGGAGAGGCTATTAATGGCTGAAAAACAAAACATACAGAGCTTGTACTCGGACTGTTCGCAGTTTGATGTTTTTGTTTTAGCACTCTAACATTTATAACTGGATTTAAGGTGTAACTTTTGATAATAATTATTAGTGTTGTAATATAACATGTAATGTTTAGAAACAGCTTGAACAGCCTTTTTTAAGCAAAACGTCCTACCTATAACATTTAAATTTCAGAAATTAATGTCATTCCTCAGCTGTGAGAAAGCAGCTGACTCAAATACTATTACTATATTGTGTATTTTTTTTCCTAATAATTTAATCAGCTTGTATTTTCCCCTGAACTGATAGTTTTTAATTATTTCTCGGCTGCTGGATTCAGGCTATGATCGTACGCAATGCTAAAGACACAGCTCACACCAAGGCAGAGAGGAACATTCTGGAGGAAGTGAAGCATCCCTTTATTGTCGATCTCATCTACGCCTTCCAGACGGGAGGGAAGCTGTACCTCATCCTGGAGTATCTCAGTGGTCAGTATAATCATAAGAACACGCAGCACGTACTCTGAGGTTTTCATTGTGTTACACAGCAATTTTTGCTTCCTTAAATCAAATTTTCCATTTTAATCCTGTTCAAAATCATATGAATGATGACACTCTAGTGGTTAGGTTTATGGAATTGAAACTAAGAATAATGCGCTATAAGCAGTCTGCCATTTGTGTGCAGCTCATAGGACAGGGCCTAAAGAGACAGGTGCGGAAATAAAGTGTTTTTAACACAAGGCAACAACGTGAAATTAACACAGAATTATCTGTTTATCACAAATGACCCAGTCACACTCATTGAAAAATTAATGTTTTTATTTTCTATTAATTTTCTCCCCATTCTGTTCAGTCCTCATTAGACAGTTCAACAGGATAGGTTTAAAATCATACAATCAATTCAACTTAATTAATTTACAAAAATTATTCATTTCATTAAAAAACAAATAACTATATACAATAGAAAACTAAAGTCTCCCTGCAGAATATAGATTATGAATCACATTAAAAGAACATTTAGTTTCTTTGTTTTTCCTACTTTCAGATGACAGATGTGCGTTGTGTCTTATTAGAGCAGTTTTTGGTAAAACGTGTTTAATGTTTGTGGGAGAGGCTTTAAGACCTCTAGATTAAAACAAATTGTGCCTCAGAAAGTTGTTTCATTTCTTTAGCCTATTAACTCAAAATGTGCTGCCAGTGTTTCTAACTAAAACTGTCCAACTGTGCAGGAGGAGAGCTCTTCATGCAGCTGGAGAGGGAGGGGATCTTCATGGAGGACACAGCCTGGTGAGCGTTAATATTCATATTGATCTAATCTGTTAGGAAGACATGTCATCATGGCTGACTGTTGTCACGTGACAATGTATGTCCAATAATGTCCAAATCCCAGGGCGTCCCAAACACAACAGTCTGAGTAAATGAGTTAAAATGAAAAATGTGAGAATTATTTTTCAGGGAACCAATATTTTAAATAAAAATCACCTTTTAAAACAAACTTGAAGTGATAAACTCACATCAAACTTGTGCTTTAAGTCATTCTGGTGTGACGTTGGTCTTGTTTTCTAATTTTTTAAAAAATATATTCCTTGTGTAGTTTTTACCTAGCAGAAATCTCCATGGCTCTGGGTCATCTGCACCAAAAAGGCATCATTTACAGAGACCTGAAACCTGAGAACATCATGCTCAACAGTCAAGGTGAGTCTAAACAGCTTCATTTATCTCTTTGGTAGTTTAAAGTTTATAATTTATAGTTTTTGTTTTTTTAATTTGGTGTCGGACTCTGTGGTTTGTCTTCCAGGTCACGTAAAACTGACTGACTTTGGTTTGTGTAAAGAATCCATTCATGATGGAACAGTCACTCACACTTTCTGTGGAACTATTGAATACATGTGAGGGCCTTTCGTTTTCTTTCACTTCCCTCCACCTCTGATCCAGTTGCTCTTTTGTATTTTGCTTATTTTGCTTTTGTTTTTTTTCCTCTCTGATGGTGGTTTGCTTTTTCATGTGGGCTTGTGTTGTTTCAGGGCTCCAGAGATCTTGATGAGAAGTGGGCACAACAGAGCAGTGGACTGGTGGAGTCTGGGCGCTCTGATGTACGACATGCTCACAGGAGCGGTCAGTTAAAAATGAACAACTTTAAAAACTTTCAGTGTTGGAGTGTTTCTCATAGAGCAGGGGTGTCCGATTCGTTTTCATCATGGGTCACATGAGCGTTATGATGGCTCTCAGAGGGCCGTTTGTAATTAACTTCAACGTTTCACATTTTGGTGGGCCAGACAGAAGTCACCTGCAGGCCATATTTGGCCCACAGGCCTTGAATTTGTCATGTGCCCTGTATTGGCCTTGGGTGTGTGTGTGTG